AAATAATATAAAGACATACTTAAAGAAATACTTTATTATTAATTATTTATTTGTTGTATTTTGAATGAAACTCAATGAATCATAAAAGTCCTATTTAATGTAATTTAGCAGCAGGACAGCTGCTGGTGGTCCCTCTGCTATAAACATTATGTAACTTTGTTTTAGTCGGTATAAAAAGATGATTTTCTCTCTGTTCAGGACATGATCCACATCGCCGACACTAAAGTCGCTCGTCGTTACGGAGATTTCTTCATCAGACAGATCCACAAGTTTGAGGAGGTCAGTGATGATTTAACYGTAGGAACGGATAAAAAAAAACCTTTTAAATAAAACGTTCCTGTCTCCTTACAGCTGAACAGGACTCTGAAGAAAATGCCCGCCGCCACCACCACCACGACATCATCATCGAGCGCCACCAGCCGATGAGTCCGAGCAGACGWCCTGGTTGGTTGAGAAAACATGAAAGCAGTTCCTGTTGTTCACCAGCAGGTGGTGCTGCTCAGCTGTTGGTTTTATATCATGAATAAATGAAACGAAACCAGCTTTGATGTCCCTGCAGACGGATCATTTTTTATTTTTTATCACATCTCATCCCACAACATGAGTCCTGATGATCAAACCAAATGAAAATATAAAAAACAAACACAACACTCAACAGAAAACAGCTGCAGCACAAACAACACTCAGACGTTAGGTTCCTGTCAGAAGCTCTTCGGTCCTCGTTTCTGTATAAAACCAAACTGGGAGCGTGGCAGTGGGAAGTCAGTGGGCACGTCGCCATCTTTGTAAAAATGATACAATTAAAATCGTTTCAATTTATAAATAAATTTCTTTGATTTTTTTCAGTCACAAAAACAAAAGTTCAGTTTTAGAAGTTCCATCAATCACAACAAAACATTTTCCACGTCAGAGTGGGCTGTGGCCGTTAGCTGGTCTGTCAGTTGAGTGCTGCAGTCGGTGTGGTCACAGGTTGGACTGAGGTCATAGTTCACCATCATCCTGCTGCTGGTTGCTTMGATCGTCCTGCAGAGCCTCGTCCTTAAAGGCCGTCAGCTCGAGGTGACGGGACCCTCTTTAAGCCCACCCAGCGGTGTTCCTGTCAGACTGCACACTCTCCGGGTCGTTCCGGGTCCGGAGGACACCCGGAGGACGCGGCGCTCAGACCAGCGAGGCCTCGGCTAGTCATAGCTCCGTGACCTCCAGGGGGCTGTYGGCCGGCGCCTCGCCGTCTTTGTGGCGGTGCAGCGGGGTGGACTTGGCCGACTCGGTGCGGGCGTTCCGCTCCGAGAACAGCACGCCGTCGGCGTCCAGCGCCTCCAGGGAGCGCGCCAGGGCCCGCTGGTCGTCCTCCGGCAGGCTGCTGAGGTCCGAGGTCAGGAGCGTGCCCGTGCTGCCGTGCACTACGTGCACGCCCTCGGGGCCTTTCAGCTCCATGGGCAGTTTGTGTTTGAAGCGCAGCGTGCCGCCGCGGCCGCCGCCCACGCTCAGCCGCTCGTCATCGTCCTCGTCCAGATCGCTCTGGATCAGCTGTGGACGAGACACAGACTGATGATTCAGAGTGGGGGGGGGGGGGGGGCAAGACAAACACGAGAAGTTCAAGTCAGCAGAAAACAGACTCACTACAAACACCGCCGTCTGTCAGAGTCACTGCAAACCTGTTTATGGCAGGGTTGGGTCAGTTTGGTCTGAAATGTCGTTCCTAATGATCTTAAAAGGTCTTAAATTTAACTTAGTGAAACCTGCAGGAAGCCTGTTAYAAACAACAAACAAAACAGTCGATTCAGATGAACGTCCAAAGAATCACAAAAGTTCAGTTAAAATGAGACAATTTGAATTTTCTGCAGAAAAGCAGCGGGAACGATAAACGCTGGGGGGAAAAAACTTGTAATTTGTTGTAAAATAGGCAAAAAATCTGAAAGATTACGTTTTTTTGAGTCAAGCTTTTGAAAAAAGTAGCTAAAATTTTCGCAAAAAGGTGAATTTAGTTGAAAACAGCTAAAAAATGCATAAAATCTTAATTATGTTAAATTAGCAGGAGTTAAAAAGAGCAGAAAGATAGCTGAAGCTGGAGGAAGCTAAAATTATCAAGAGTTGTWAATTAGAGTACAAATACTCTGTTACAGTACTTACGTAATTATCTTTCAGCTGACTTATTGCTTCTACTTATATTTTTTAAAAAGGTAAGAAGTAGAAAGCATAGGTGTAATTAGCAGTGGGGTTAGGGGGGTTCTGACCCCCCCTCCCCCCAAAGAAATGACATCATTTGCTCAAACAATAGAAATTAACTGGTTAAGTAGACAGATGCAACTCTTATAGTAACTTTAACCTGATTAAAAATTGATGATGTCATACATGTACGTTTAAGCTTAATTGCTAAAAATGACAGTTTTAGAACACAACCCCCTCAGTGATGGACCTAAAGTTGTGCCCTTGGTAGAAAGTCGTTACTCTTATTTCATTCTGGTTTGTTATTGTTAATAAATAAATAAATATGCAGGTAAAACAGGTCCTAAATGATTTAACATCAACAGAATTATGCTGACCTTTAGAAAAATGTTTTTATAAGTCAGTAAATAAGACCAATAAATGTCGTTTTGGAAAATTTAACGGCCGACTTTTACTGTTAATACTTCAATAAGTTTYATGTCAGAAATTTACCTTTGATACTAAAGTACCAAAAAAATCTGATATTTTAAGGTTTTTACTCGAGTACTAATCATAGAGAAGAACTTTTCCCAAAGTAATTTTATAAGATACTTTTATTTTTACTCAATATCACCTTTAGGTACTTTATACGAGACTGAAATTAGAGTTAAAAAAGTGCAGAAAAGGCTGAACTATTTAAAGACGTTAAAAACAGCTCCATTTATTTTCAATGAGACCAAAAAAAAAAAAAGGCTAAAGATCTCAAAAAGTATAAACTACGGAGCCCGCGAGGGGACATGGCRAGATTTTTTATTCGTTTGCGTTCCCACGCAATAGTATTGGGTTACCTTGCAATACCTTTGCGTTACCTCGCAAAATTGTTTTGCGTTACCTCGCAATACTTTTGCGTTACCTCGCAAAATTGTTTTGCKTTCCCACGCAAACGATTGTTTTGTATATGAACTAAATTAAATCAGACTTTTATTTTGAAATATCCGGTTACCGAAACAGGATGTGTCGCCACAAGTTTGTGAAATTGACATTAATGTTGCGTGGCTGCACTGTGTTAAAATATCAACATAAGACATACTTCCATGCGTGTCTGTGTGATATATTCATTCTGCAGCTGAATTAAAGCAGTAGGCTAACTCGCTAATGGTGAACATGTGAGTTTGTTAATAAACCGGCAGCACAACACTGATAAATGACTTTTGCGATGGAACGCAAAATAGATTAAATCTCCCATGGTCCCTCACGGGCTCCGTAATAAACTGCTGGAACATCCTGAAGGAGCTGAATGTTTTTGCGTATAAATTTTTAAAATAGTGTAAAAATTGCGAAGTGAGTTACGTGGAGAAAAATGTACAGAAGAAAAAAAAACGTAAATAAATGACAAAGTTTGTCCAGAATGAGATATTTTGTTGACAGACTCGAGCGTAAAAACATCATCGTAGGCCTGTGGTGGGTCAGTGAACACATCACGGGTCAGTGAACACATCACGGGTCAGTGAACACATCACGGGTCAGTGAACACGTCACGGGTCAGTGAACACATCACGGTCAGTGAACACATCACGGTCAGTGAACACATCACAGGTCAGTGAACACATCACGGGTCAGTGAACACGTCACGGGTCAGTGAACACGTCACGGGTCTGAACACATCACGGGTCAGTGAACACATCACAGCAAAAGGAAAAGAGAAGAAAAGCAGGAGTTTCAGCCTGGATCTGATCTGAAATCTGGTAGGAGGGCTGAAAGAAGCAGAAGCAGCTGAAATGTGGCGACAGGAAGTCAGGAGCAGAGACAGGAACACGTCAACCTCTCTGGTCCCACCTCAGTGATGGACGACACGTCTCCCTGCGTGGTGGAAATGGTGACGAGTCGAGCTGCAAAGAGCTGTTTCAGCCTCAGGTAGTCGTCTAGGACCACCTTGAGCAGAGAACCCTGACGGGACAGTACTCTGGTTCAAACAGGGTCTAGAGTCCACTCCAACCCCTAGCTAACAGGCTAATTAGTTTCTTTAGCTCCGCCCCCATCAGAACAATAACACGTACCTTGATAGGCCCCTCCCTCATGATCTGACCCAGCTTGGCGATGTTGTCGTACTCCTGGATGGCGGCTCTCAGGTASCGGTCGTCCTCGGGTCTGGCTTGCGGCTCTCGGCCGAAGGTGCCGTGGGTCCTGGCGGGGCTGTTCCACAGGTCCGTGATCTCGCTCAGGTTCTCGGGCAGGTCGTCCTCGTGGTCCGCCTGAGCCGCCAGCTCCAGGTTCCGACAGAACGGGTCCAGCCAGACCGGGTTGGCCCTGCAGAGGCAAAGAACGATTCACACACGTTCAGSTACGTTTCAGCCCTTCAAAATAACATTTTTAAGTTCAGACTTGTAGTTTAGTTTCCATCAGTAGCTGCTTTAGCACCTTTCAGCATTTCTGCATAAATTATTATATTTATTGGTGTGATTATTCTGTTAAAACCAAAACAAGCTGACGGTTAATTAAAGCCTAAAGTGGCACAAAAAGGATTTGAGTCCCAGGATCATTCTCCTGGTTTCAGCCGTTGGTTTAATGATCGTTCTGTCCYCCTCTCACCCCTCAAAGGAGTACTTGTTGGTGTTGGGCATGTCCAAGATATCCATTAGACCCTGGTTTCCTGTAGGACACACGGCAAATTATTGTTCACTGATGTTTGGAACAGATAGAATCAAGCCTAGCTAAAGCTAAAGTAAAACTAAGTAAAAGCAGCAAAAGTTTAACCAAAAATTTAAAACTGACAGTATCAAAATTAGCTTGATGTAGCAAAAGGCTAGCTAAAAATAATGAAATGCTATCTAAAAGTAGCAAAAAGCTAGCTAAAAGTAATGAAATGTTATCTAAAAGTAGCAAAAGGCTAGCTAAAAGTAGTAAAAGGCTATTGAAAGGTAGCAAAAATCTAGCGAAAAGTAATGAAATGCTATCTAAAATTAGCAAAAGGGTAGCTAAAAGTAATGAAATGCTATCTAAAAGTAGCAAAGAGCTAGCTCAAAGTAATGAAATGCTGGCTAAAAGCAGCAAAAGGCTAGCTAAAAGATATGAAATGCTGGCATAAAAGTAATGAAATGCTATCTAAAAGTAGCAAAAGGGTAGCTAAAAGTAATGAAATGCTATCTAAAATTAGCAAAAGCCTTGCTAAAAGTAATGAAATGCTATCTAAAAGTAGCAAAAGGGCAGCTAAAAGTAATGAAATGCTATCTAAAATTAGCAAAAGCCCAGCTAAAAGTAATGAAATGCAATCTAAAGGTAGCAAAAGACTGACTAAAAATGTCAAAAGTTTAGCTAAAAGTAATAGAATGCTATCTAAAAGTAGCAAAACGAAGCTAAAAGTAATGAAGTGCTACCTAAAAGCAGCAAAAGGCTATCTAAAAGTAATGAAATGCTATCTAAAAGTAGCAAAAGGCTAGCTAAAAGTAATGAAATGGTGGCTAAAAGTAGCAAAAGGCTAGCTAAAGGTAATAAATGGTGGCTAAAAGAAGCAAAAAGCTAGCTAAAATTTAGGAAATGCTGGCTAAAAGTAATGAAATGCTATCTAAATGTAGCAAAAGGCTAGCTAAAAGTAATGAAATGCTATCTAAATGTAGCAAAAGGCTCGCTAAAAGTAATGAAATGCTATCTAAAAGTAGCAAAAGGCTAGCTAAAAGTAATGAAATGGTGGCTAAAAGAAGCAAAAAGCTAGCTAAAATTTAAGAAATGCTGGGTAAAGTAATGAAATGCTATCTAAATGTAGCAAAAGGCTATCTAAAAGTAGCAAAGTGTTAGCTAAATGTAATAAAAGGCTATTGAAAGGTAGCAAAAAGCTAGCTAAAAGTAATGAAATGCTATCTAAAAGCACCAAAAGGCTGACTAAAAATGTCAAAAGGCTAGCTAAAAGCAATAGAATGCTATCTAAATGTAGGATGCAAGCTAGATGTAGCAAAAGGCTGGCTAAAAGCAATAAAAGGGTAGTTGGAAGCTAAAAGTTCAGCATGTTACCTGTTGATCCTGCAACAATAGCTTTAAGCTTTCTTTGGTGTCTGCAACATAAAAAACAACAAATGGATAAATATGTTTCAGCTGAAAAGTCTTAAAAAGTGAACTGGATCTGCAGGACTCACACTCTGCGGTAATGCCAGTTCATCGTTACAAACAGGACTCCTGCCAAACACAGCAGCACAGCCAGGATGATGATGACCAGCTGTGAACGTAAAGAAAAAAAAGGCTTAAAAACACAGAGTCAGAATAAAACCCAGAGCAGCGTGAGGCGAGGGTTGAAGTCCCGCAGCACCTGCAGCGTGGAGATGTCATCAGGCAGCTTGTCACCGACAGCCGGCTGAACGTCCACCACGTTGTACGTCCTGAACAGGTTCCTGAGCTGCTCCTTGTTCTGGTCGATCATCTGGATGACCCTGCAGAAGGTGGAACATCAGGAACACAGCAGACAGAAGCTAAAGGGGTGAAAGTAAAGCTCCAAACCCTACGAGACCTTTCMACGTCCAGGATGGTGTTGGTCTGGTTGTTGACGACGTGGATCAGCATGTCGGTCTGAGCGTAGCTCACTCTGCCCTTTTTGTCCACGTGGAACTGGACGTGAACGAGACGTGTCATTTAGAAAAAGATCAAATCATTTCAGTAAAACATGAGAGAAATGACATTTTCTGTCTAAATACACTGAGAAGGCTGAGCTGAAGACTGCTGAAACTGTGTCACTAAAGCTAAAACGCTATCTCAAATTTAAAATGAGCAAAATGAGCTAAATGTAGCAAATTGTAGCTAAAAAAGGCAAGCTTAAAGTAATAAAATGCTATCTTAAAGTAGCAAAATGCTAGTTTAAAGTAATAAAATGCCATATAATAGTCAGATAAAGCTAGCTAAAAGTAGCTAACTGTAATAAAATGCTATCCAAAACTAGGACAACGCTAGCTAAAAGTGGCAACAGGCTAGCTAAAAATAATAAAATGCTGGCTAACAGTAGCAAATTTTAGCTAAAAGCAGCAAAAGACTATCTAAAAGTAATAAACTGCTATCTAAAAGTAGGACTAGGCTAGCTAAAACAAAATATTAGCTAAAAGTAGCAAATTTTAGCTAAAATTACTAAAAGGCTAGATAGAAGTAATAAAATTCTAGCTAAAATTAGCAAATTGTTGCTAATAATGGCAAAAGTCTAGCTAAAAGTAATTACATGCTATCCATTAATAGTATAAGGCTAGCTAAAATTAATAAAATATTAGATAAAAGAAGCAAATTGTAGCTAAAAAAGGCTAGCTTAAAGTAATAAAATGCTATCTTAAAGTAGCAAAATGCTAGTTTAAAGTAATAAAATGCCATATAATAGTCAGATAAGGCTAGCTAAAAGTAGCTAACTGTAATAAAATGCTATCCAAAACTAGGACAACGCTAGCTAAAAGTGGCAACAAGCTAGCTAAAGTAATAAAATGCTGACTAACAGTAGCAAATTTTAGCTAAAAGCAGCAAAAGACTATCTAAAAGTAATAAACTGCTATCTAAAAGTAGTAGGATAAGGCTAGTTAAAAGTAGCTAAATGCTATCTAAAAGTAGGACAACACTAGCTAAAAGTGGCAACAGCCTAGCTAAAATTACTAGTGTTAGCTAAATGTAGCAAATTGTAGCTAAAATAGCAAAAGGCRAGCTAAAAGTAATTAAATGCTATCMATAAGTAGTATAAGGCTAGCTGAAAGCAGAAAAAATTAGCTAGAAGCAAAACTTAGAAGAAGAAAACAGAACAAATATGCAGCTTTCCAAAAAAGAGTGTTTTGTAAGACTTTGATCTCGATGTGTTTCTGCGGGGAAGTAGCCGAACCTGTATGTCGTCCAGGTTTACGATGGCTCCGGTGATGTTGGACAGCAGGCTGATGAAGTCATCCTGGTTCTCACGAACCCAGTCGGGGATCTCGTTAAAGACGATCTTGACCCTCTGGTCGTCTCGCAGGATGTAGATGTTGACGTTGGAGGCGGCGCTGTGCCCGGCGAGGTCGCAGGCTAGGATCTCCAGCTGGAAGTATCCTGGACTGTAGGAGGTGAAGAGGTCGTAGGTGCGGATGATTCCATCTGACAGACCTGTCGGAGGAAATGCTGCTCAGATCTCAGAAATCGTTTCAGTGTGCACTGCCAATGCAATGCACACTAGCACGCTTCTCCTCCTGCATACTTTGTCCTAAAGCTGCCATTTTATTTTATTTCTGTAAAGCTCCTGTGCCAAATGATGGCTATGCCTTTTGGTGCCTGTAAAACTTATAGTTTTTGAAATATTAATGTTTAATAGTTTATGATGGGAGTCAATGGAGCCTTGTATTGGTCCAATACTGCCCCCTGCTGTATCTACTCAGTACTGAACCATAGTTTAATAATATTTACTCTCAATAGTTCAGTGGTTACAATACAAATATGATTGTATTTTGATGTTTTACTAAAATGTTTTCCTAATATTGCTCTWTTGCTGTAATATATTGCAGTTTAGTGTCAACAATTGCATTGGCAATGTGGCCTCTTTCTGCATACATACAAACCAACCCTTGGCAGTGCCCACTGCCACAGCTCCATTGGTCTCATGGTTACATCTATGAGCTTTCATGTGGGAGAGCAGGGTTCAAAACCCAGTTACAGTAACTTTAACAAAAAAATCTCTGCAAACTTCACATTGTCACACAACTACCCTCATTACAAACACCTGCTGACTTGACAGGCACAAGTTGGTAGAAAACACATTTGAATTTGGTCACATTTTATTCTGCAAGTCCACTGCTGCAGGCAACGACATGCTACGTGGCAATGCACACTTGTTTTTACATCGTAAAAACCCACGTCTAGTTTAAAATTATTTCCATCGACTCACCGATGATGAAGATGTTGCCAACGTCTTCGCTGCCGTTGCTTTGGGTCTGGAAGTAGCGGATTGTGACGATGTGGTACTGGACCAGGCTGTTGTTGCCGATGTCGTTATCTATAGCCAGCACCTTGATGAGCTCCGAGCCCACCTTGGCGTTCGCTGCTACGCCTGAAACAAGGACAGCAGAAAGAATGATTAGGTTCTGGTTCCGCACCGGCCAGCGGACCCGGTTCTGCAGCAGCACAGCACCTGCAGTGTACTCTGCCTTGGTGAAGCGTGGAGTCTGGTCGTTGATGTCCTCCAGTTGGATCTGGACTTTCAGGAGGCTGGGGTCTAGAGCGGGGTCCAGGGCTCTGACCTGTAATGACCTCTGACCTCTGGGAGGAGTCCAGCTCCTGTTGCTGGAAGCTTTGATGATGATGAAGTAGACCGGGACGACCTCCCTGTCCAGCTCCTTCAGCGCCCTCAGTTCTCCGTCCAGACTCAGGGCGAAGTTTCCAWCGTTGTTTCCTCCTGCAGGAAGACATGACACCACAAACACGTCTGCATCAGTCTCAAACATGGACGTCCCACACAAGGACAAGTTCAGGGACAACTTGTCCTCCGTCCTGGGATTTAGGACAAAAATGAAAACAGATTTTTATCATAATTAGAAAAACGGTGTAAACACAATTAACAGAAACTACACAGTCTTAATAAAGTATTCACACCCTTTGAAGTAGTTACCGAAAACAGCAAAATATTAGCTAAAAGGCTAGCTAAAATCTAAAAGTAGCAAAAAGCTTAGTTAGCAGCAAAAGACTGAAAAAAATTACAGAAGAAGAAAAGTGTTTCTTTTTTAAATAAAAGAAACACAAAACGGTGGCTAAAAGTAACAAAACAGAGGCTGTAATTAGCAAAACTGGAATTTAACTAAAAGGTGCTAAAGCTAAAATTGAAAAGTAGCAAAAAGGTTACTTAGGAGCTGAAAATAGCAAAAACTGAAAAGCAAAATATAATTACTAAAAAGATAAAATGTTTCTTAAAAAAACACACAGAACAGTGGCTAAAAGTACAAACAAACAAAAAAAAAACCGCCGGAATTTAGCTAAAAGATGCTAAACTGATGACAGGCAGATACTAAAATCAGCAAAACAGTGGTTAAAATCAGTAAAACAATAGCTAAAATCAGTAAACAGTAGCTAAAATTAGCAAAATGGTAGCTCAAATCAGCAAAACAACAGACAAAAATAAACAAAACCACAACTAAAATTAGTAAGACTGGCTAAAATCTGTAAAACAGACTAAAATCAGCAAAATAATAGCTAAAATCAACAAAACAGTAGCTAATATCAGTAAATCAAGCTAAAATCATAAAACAGTAGATAAAAATCAATAAATCTGGCTAAAATCAGTAAAATAGTAGCTAAAATCTGTAAATTTGGCTAAAATCAATACAACAACCATTAAAAATCAGTAAAACAATAGCTAAAATCAGCAAAACAGTTGTTAAAATCAGCAAAACAGTAGCTAAAATCAGCAAAACAGTAGCTAAAATCAGCAAAACAATAGCTAAAATCAGTAAAACAGTGGCTAAAATCAGCAAAATGGTATCTAAAATCAGCAAAACAGTAGACAAAATCAGCTAAACAGTTGTTAAAATCAGCAAAACAATAGCTAAAATCAGTAAAACAGTGGCTAAAATCAGCAAAATGGTATCTAAAATCAGCAAAACAGTAGACAAAATCAGCTAAACAATAGCTAAAATCAGTAAACAGTAGCTAAAATCAGCAAAATGGTAGCTAAAATCAGCAAAACAGTAGCTAAAATCAGTAAAACTGACTAAAACCAGCAAAATAATAGCTAAATGCTGAAAAACAGTAGCAACAATCGGTAAATCTGGTTAAAATCAGCAAAATAGTAGCTAAAATCAGCAAAACAGTAGCTAAAATCAGTAAAACTGACTAAAACCAGCAAAATAATAGCTAAATGCTGAAAAACAGTAGCAACAATCGGTAAATCTGGTTAAAATCAGCAAAATAGTAGTTAAAATCAGCAAAACAGTAGCTAAAATCAGTAAAACTGGCTAAATTCAGTGCTGATTTTTTCATGCAGATGACGGTCTGATTTACATTTTAGTTTCTGTATCAGAACAGAAAAAAACTGCACAAATTTCTTTCATTTTCTTTCACAGTTGTCCTTTGTGTTGGTTTATCACATAAAACCAGTGAGGAACTGGGTTTTGGTGATGTTGTGTCAAAACACAGATTCTGTTCAGGACCTGCAATGAAATAGTAAACGACGGCGTTGGAGCCCTCATCAGCGTCCACCGCTCTGCTCACGTTGCCGATCACAGTTCCTGGAGGCGACTGTTCGAGCAGCGTCAGCTTCTGGTACGCCAAGCTGCCATCCTGAGGTGACAACACACACACACAGACACACAACATTACAACACACACAGTTCAAACACTCTGGACACAACCGGAGCTCGACCCTCACCGGTGGTTTGAGGAAGACCGGTTCATTATCGTCGATGTCCAGCAGCGCCACCTGCAGAGGCTGCGTGGTCTCGTACGGCACCGGCTGACCCAGGTCCCGGGCCACGATGATGAGCTGAGAGACAGAACCACAACGTCACACAGGTGCAGCTGCGCCGCCTCACCGCCTGCAGGAGGACGGCCCACTCACGCTGTAGAGCGGCTGCTTCTCTCGGTCCAGTTTCACCGTGGTGCTGATGACCCCCGACATGGCGTCGATGCGGAAGTTCTCCCAGTCCCTGTTTCCTGCTCCCGTCTGCAGGAAGGCGTAGCGGACCTCTCCGTTCACGCCCTCGTCGGCGTCGGTTGCGTGCACCTCGTAGACCGGCAGACCCGGCGGCTGCTCCTGCAGGACACCAAACAGAACCGTAGGTTTTGTTTTGTATCACTAATCAGCACACACCACAGCACGTCYGGACCCATCTGGTACCTCAGTGATGTGAATGATGGTTCCGTTAGCCGGCCTGACGAACACGGGTCGGTTGTCGTTGACGTCGATGACCGTGATGATCAGGTCTGCGGTGCCCCACAGAGGAGGACGACCCTGATCCGTCGCCACCACCGTGAAGTTGAAGCGCTCCGAGGACTGAAGCAGGCGGCGAGAACGCACCACTCCGGTGATGGGGTCCAGCAAGAAGGCGTCTGAAACACCGGAGGAAAAAACGGTTGAAGGACTGTCAACGAGGCCGACTGTACCTTTCAGACAGTCCTACCTAAATGTGGTCCGATCATGGTGTAGATGAGCGCAGCGTTCTGCCCTTCGTCCAGGTCGATGGCTGTGACGGTGATCACCGACGTGCCGCTCGGTTCGTTTTCAAACACGCTGGTGTTGAAAACTTTGGACGTGAAGCGTGGCTGATAATCGTTGACGTCCAGAACCGTCACCAGAACCTGACGTGGGGCACGATCAGATAAAACGTTAGAGGCTCACCAACAAGACGTCAAAGTCAAGGATGTATTTCTGGTAAGTTAAACACGTCTCATTATCTGAGATAGTTTTCTTTCTTCTGTACGGTTCTCGGCTCGTAACTCGTTACGCAATTTTTGTTGAATAAAAATTTTTGCTGAGCGAGCTGAATGTTTTGATATATTATAATAAACTTTCAGCTCGTTCAGGACATTTCAACTATGACTTTTGGTATTTCAGCTGTTTATTTAGAGATATTTAGCTTTTTCTGACATCTTTTTCTCATTGAAAGTGAATGGAGCTTCATTCAACATCTCTGAAAATGTTATTTACTGAAATTTTTACATTTAGTTTCATTCTTTACTTCATTGTTCTAATTTTCAGAATCAGAATTGTTTTTAGTGTTTTTAGCTATCATTCTAACATTTTCTGCTCTCTTCTGCTTTTTGTGCTTCATTCTGCATCTTTCTGATAAATGAAGTTTTTATGCTTTTTTCAGCTGCTTTCTGCTAATGTAAGCTATTTTTAGCTACTTTTTAGTTAATTTGAGCTATTTTGAGCATTTTTCAGCTAAATTCACCTTATTGTGATGATTTCAGCTTATTTCTGCCTAAATCAGCAAATGTGTGCTTTCTGTTTGTGCTAATTTTAGCTTTTTCAGCTACTTTTTAAAGCTATTTTAGGCTAGTTTCAGCTTTTTTTTAGCTATTTCAAAACAAATTCCAGATGCTTCTTTTCTTGTTTTTTTTGATTTTACAATTTTCACTCTCATTTCCTCCTCCTGTTAATTTTAACTTGTTTCACCTACTTTTAGCTTCTTTTTGCCAATTTTAGCTTCACTTTTGCTCTTTTGTTAGAGTTTTGACCTTTTTTTACTCTTTCTACTGATTTTTCACTTTTGTTGTCCTAATTCTAGCAAAAATCACCTGTTCAAAGTAACTCAAAACAATCATAAAAATTTTCAGCTTCTTCAGCAACTTTCAGCTTAAATCTTTTAGCATTAAGCAATCACCGTATTTCACAGTTTCTCTAGTTTTATCTGTTTTCTGCTCAATTTAGTTCTTTCACTTTCAGCTAAATCAGTTATAAAGATATCTGTCCTGATGCATCTCAGTAATCCAGGTAAAAAAAATCAAAAAGAAAAAAATAGTATAGGTCTTCTGGACGGGTTCTTCTCTAATGAAACGTTTCGTCTCTCCTCCAAGAGACTTCTTCAGTCTGAGAGTTTCAGGCAAAATTCAGGCTTTTAAGCVCTGCCTCCABGTGACTGATACTCACATCACATGGCTATCGTTGACACCTAATTAACACCTATTGTTAACAGGGGGTGGAGTGAAAACCAGTGGTTATTCCGTATGTTGCGGGTGTTTCGGAGAAACTGAGACRTTTATTTTCTAAACATGATGTCCCAGTAGCTTTCAAACCCCAAAACACATTACGGCAAAGGCTGGTTCACCCCAAAGATCCGGTGCCCCGGCACAAACAGAGCAATATTGTATATGCTGTTAAGTGCCAGGAGGACTGCGACCAGTTATACATCGGGGAAACAAAGCAGCCACTGTTCAAAAGAATGTCCCAACACAGACGAGCTACATCTAATGGCCAGAACTCTGCAGTTTTCACTCATTTACAGGCCAGCGGTCACTCTTTCAGAGATGAGGATGTTCTCATTCTTGATAGAGAGGAACGTTGGTTTGAGAGAGGAGTAAAAGAAGCCATTTTTGTGAAGAAAGACCGTCCGTCATTAAACAGAGGTGGAGGCCTCCGTTTTCAGTTGTCCCCCTCCTACAGCGCGGCTATTGCCAGTTTCACTCCACCCCCTGTTAACAATAGGTGTTAATTAGGTGTCAACGATAGCCATGTGATGTGAGTATCAGTCACATGGAGGCAGGGCTTAAAAGCCTGAATTTAGCCTGAAACTCTCAGACTGAAGAAGTCTCTTGGAGGAGAGACGAAACGTTTCATTAGAGAAGAACCCGTCCAGAAGACCTATACTATTTTTTTTCTTTTTGATTATAAAGATACTGAGCTACATTTTGTTGGGTTGTAGCTACCACACGCCGAAAGCTAATTAGAATGCAGTGATGGCTGATATTTTACTAGATAATTTTCTGATAATTTTAGCTAAACTTCTGCTCTGTTTGTCTTGTAGGATACAATTTAGAGCTTTCTACTGATTTGTTTTTTTGCGTTCAGTAAAAGCCAGCTGTTCAAATTGATCTCGCATCAGTAGTTGTGCTATTAAACTTTTTCTGCTTCTTCAGCATCATCACAGGAAATGCAAATTTTCTAGCTGTGCRATAAATGACAGCACACCGTCGTTCTACCTGAACTGCATTCTCTCTCCGGTTGTTTGGGATTCCTCCGGGGTTGTCCCGGGCAACAGCGGTTAAAGTGTAGTGGTCCTTTGTCTCTCTGTCCAGAGGGGACAGGATGTAGATCTCTCCCTTACAAAGAGGAGAAGGAATGATTAGGAAGGAAGCACTTAGAGGGAGGGGTGGCATTATCAGGACATTACTTCGGCTCTGCATTCACGACTGAAATGGAGCGCGGAGCTAAAATATGTAGCGTGCCCTCAGGACACCCAGAGGTTTTGTTTAAACTTTCATTTCCAGGCAGGATAACGTTCGGCGTCGCTCTGAGAGAAAACACAGCCGACCGTTTCTTACCAGTCAATACATGTTTATCTTTTGTCTGAGGTCTTGAAGAGGAAATGTYTGGCATTTTCTGTGGACGCTGCAGGTTAAAGATGTTCATAACAACGRCCCTGAAATGAGGCTTTGTACCGGGAATAAAAAGAGCTCTGCTTTCTGCTTCGATAAGAAGTGGTAAAGTCTCGTTAACTCACGGTGGTCGGTCTGATGTCAAACTTGCCCTCTCCGTCTACCAGGCTGTACTCGATGACGGCAAAGAGTCCAGAATCGGCGTCTGTGGCTCGGACCCGAATTATGGTGGTGCCCAAGTTCACATTCTCAAACACGGGCACCTAAAATAAAATAAAAAAAAACAAGATAAACTTCAGCTGAATAAATCTAAATTCCACCTAATTAAAATCTGATTTGGTTGGTCAGCTGTTCTGCACCTGATAGGACGGCTGGAGGAAGATGGGGTTGTTGTCGTTGACGTCCACGATGCGCAGGTACACCGGCAGCTCGGTGCTTCTGGGAGGGGAGCCGTGGTCCTGAGCCCGTATGGTGAAGTTCAGCCACTGCACCAGTTCATAATCCACCGTCTGATTGGCTACAATCTTTCCTGTAGAATTTAGTTTCGYAGTTAGAAGGGTCATTTTCTGTRAAAGCGCGWGCATCGGTGGTCCGTACCCGTGGAAGGGTCCTCCAGCCGAACGTAGTACCCCCTGGGTAAGTTGAGCAGTTCGTACGTGACCTGACCGTTGGGACCTTTGTCCGGATCCACGGCCGACACGGACAGCAGCGTCGTGCCGGGCTGAGCCCCTTCCAGAATCTGCTCGGTGAAGTTCGTCACCCCGAAGGGTCGGAAACGAGGGGCGTTGTCGTTGACGTCCAACACGTTGATGGTTAGCCTCGCTGCAGAGAYGGGATCGCAGTACGAGAGACAGGAAGCAAAAACTTAGAAAACTTTAAGTAGACATGATAAAGCTGCCTCCTTTGGTTCATTAGGGTCACCGTGGTAACCACACACCTGTGTCTGTCACTCCCTGACAGTAAAAACAAGCAGAACAGAACGTAAACCAGTGGCGGCTGGCCAGTAGGGGGCGCTTGGGCGCCGCCCCCTTTAAATTGTTTAGATAAATGATTTAATTCTGAACTGCAAAATACTTAGAAATGTATTTATTCATACTGTGTGTCCAATAGACATGTTAGAATTTATTAAAATAGTAAATACATAATTCTATTTAATTG